GGAGTTTGTTAAAATAGATATTGTAGATATAATAGGTGTAGCAAAACAGATATTTCTAAGATTTGCCATTTAAAATGTCAGAAAATGAAGTTTGGAGCAGTATCTACTTAATGCTGATGCAATGTTTCATGAGAACAGATGATGTACTGAGAACAGGTTCTCAGACTTGTTCTTTGGTCTACTGGTTGCAGCTTTTGAGCTTTATTTGCTCCTCGGTGAGGACAAGAGAGGGAAGTTTTATAATGTAAAGAAGGAAACATTTGTCCGGTGTTTTGATGAGTGGACAGAACAACAACTTATGGACCAAGTGATTTGGAATGAGTTGTTTCTTCATACTCAAGAATTCCTTCTGAGTGAGGAGTTTTGGTGAATGGGGAATTAATCTGCAGTGTGAATGGGAGAGGAGGATCAGGTTGGCTGAGGAATGTTGCTGTGGCAAGTGGCCCGGTGGCAGTGGCATGGTGGTCTCATGGCACTCTCACCCCTGTAGGGCTGAAAGCCAACCTGAATTGGCTTAGAAATGTGGGTTGACACTCTCAGTTTTACTTTTGATGTGTTCCTGTGTAATGACTCAGAACTCTACCCCTTCTTTTTCCTCCTGGGGAATGTGGAATAGTCATCAGCCTTCACGTGAGGCTGAAGGGTCAGATTTAGCCTGGTATAGAATGACAATGAATTCCTAACTCAGATGCTTGTTCAACAAGCTAATCTTTCTCTCCTGTTTTTTTGCAGTTCCTTGATGACTTAAACAGGTGGAGTCTACTTCTCATTTCTCCATTCATTCATCCCGAGGAGTTACTTGAAGCAGAACACATAGCTTTTGTGACAGAAAGCATTGCTGCTCACACAGACAACTTGCAGAACGTACCTGACTCTTCCAAAGAGGTGAGTTGTTCCCTTTGTTTCTTGCACAGAAAGTAGTACAGATGGGCTGTAATGTTATTGAGAGTAAAAAGGGAATCTCTTCATTAAATGAATGGCTGTTAATAATTTTGTTCTGTTTTATGCTGAGAGTTGTTAGTAGCGTGTTTCTCTGGCTGTGGGTGGGAACTGCACCTGTACTGTGGAGCCAGGCTGAGAGCTGGGGGTGTGCAGCCTGGAGAAGAGAAGGCTCCAGGCAGACATTAGAACTCCTTTCAGTGCCTAAAGGAGCTCCAAAGAGCTACAGAGGGACTTGGGACAAGAGCCTGGGGTGACAGGACAAAGGGGAATGGCTTTAAGCTGAAGGAGGACAGGGTTAGATTAGATATTGAGAAGAAATCCTTCCCTGTGAAGTGCTGAGGCACTGGCACAGGTTGTCCAGAGCAGCTGTGGCTGCTCCATTCCTGGGAGTGTTCCAGGCCAGGTTGGATGGGGCTTGGAGCAGCCTGGGCTCGTGGGAGGTGTCTCTGCCCATGTCCCTCTGTCTCTGCCTGGTGTTGTGCTGCTTTTCCATAGCAGAATCCTGTGGGAAGGAAGGGCAGTTTTTATTTGCAGTCCATCGTGCAATCTGCTCACACTGTTGATGTTTGGGTGTTTTTCTGTCACCTTTTCAAACTGAAACCCCTGCCTGTGCTTTATTCTAGATTGTGAAGTGGTCAGACTTTTGTTCACCCTTGGCCTATAAACCTGGTGAACCTTTTAAATTAATTGCTGAAGCAAGTGTAGATAATTTCAGTAGCCTTGGAATTGCCTTCATGGAAGACAGGCTGCAGATGGATAACGGGATGGTGCCACACAAGATTGTTTGTAAGTACCTTCTTGGTCATTTTTAATGGCAGAACACGTTTGTTTTGTGGTTGGTTTAGGACTGTTCATATAGTATTTATACCTACATAAAAAACATGCATTGAGTTTGGCACAGTGTTGTATATGAGGTAGTTCATCATTCTGAAACACTACTGTGTTTTCATAGAATCATGGAATGGTTTGGGTTGGAAGAGACCATAAAGATCATCCAGTCCATGGGCAGGGACACCTCCCACCAGCCCAGGCTGCTCCAAGCCCCATCCAGCCTGGCCTGGAACACTCCCAGGGATGGAGCAGCCACAGCTGCTCTGGGCAACCTGTGCCAGTGCCTCAGCACCTCACAGGGAGCATTTCCTTCCATTTTATACTGACTATTGTCAAATACAGAAGTCCTTGCAAAGATGAACACTTCTTGAGTGAGTTTCTCTCTGAATTAACGGCATAGTAAGTCCATTTGGTCTTGTGGGAGTGGAAAGGGATTCAGTAAAATTTGTCAGGCTTTGACATGAAGTATTTTCATGGCTCAGCAGCTGAAAGAAATCCTTCCTGAGGAAGAGAGTTTTTTCTCTCTTTTCTTAGTTTGCTCTGCAAGTTTCATGCTGACAATAATCACTTTTGCTCTTCTTTTCTCACTTGTATTTGCCACAAATGATTTCTCTTTGCATTTCTATCCTTTTTAGAGGGAGAAAGGGGAAGATCTAACAATTCTTCCTATTTGCTAGGTTTCCCTTGGATTCTTAGCTCTCAAGTCCTGCTGTGGGTGGATATTGACTCCCCTTCTGCACACTGAAAGCAGTTCAAGGCTTTTTTACTCCCTTTTGCTTGTGCCAAACTTTTATCTGCAGCCTTCAGTATCTCCTTCTTACCCAATACCATCTCTTTGTTAGCTTATTTCAAAACAGTTTATTTCAAAATAGCAGCAAGTGATTTTCCCCTCTGCCCTCCTTAAAACACCCAGATTTTTCCAGAGATACTTCCTTTGCTTCACTTTCTCTTTTGAAACAAAGAGTCATTGGTGGAAATGACTTGTGCTATGAGTGATTTGTGTTCTTGGGGGAGGATTTGGTGTGGCAAACAGGTGAACTTCTTGCTGTTACAGGTGCTTTGTACTGAAATTAAGTGAAATCTTGTTACGTTAGTGATATTCATTATAATCATATCATTTTTCTAACCCCTTTTTTTGTACCCTTTAACTTTCCCAGCTGTCCATTTACAGGAATCTGCTCTGAAGGAGCTGGCACAGGAGGCACCACCTGGGAAAGAGCAAAGCATACAGATGGATGAAGTAACTCCTGCTGTTAACTTGGGGCCAACTCTTAAATCAGGATTAGGAGTAGCTGAGTCTGCAGGACAAGGTGAAGAGGAGAAATCCAAGCTGGAGAAAGAAAGTGAGCATGAGGATGACCCCAAGAGTCTGTCTGACAAAGAGACACGTCCTGGAGAACATCATCACTTGCATCTCTCCAGCTGTCGTGAGTGTCTGCAGCTTGAAAACAGCACCATTGAGTCAGTGAAATTTGCCTCTGCAGAGAACATTCCAGAACTTCCCGATGATTGCAGTAGCAAACTAGAAGAGAAGGAGGATGTCTGCCTAGCAGAAGGAATCAAGAGAGTGAACCTGGCTGGTAAACCCCCTAATGTGCTGGTTTACCTTGGCTCTGAAACTGCCAAAGTGAGGTTTGAGCAGGTGAAATCAATCCTTCAGGAATGCATCGGTGCAGAGAGTTACACCATCTACCAACTGCACAAGGAGCAAGTGCTGAGAGATCCCTGGGTTGAGAATTCATTGCTGCTGGTCATTGCCACAGAGGAGCCGATTTCTGAGGGCAACCACAAGCAGTTCATGAAATTTTTATCCAAAGGTGGAAAGATTCTTGGGTTTTCTTCGTCATTCACGTTCGGTGGTGTGCAGATAAAGAGGAAAAACAAGCTGAAGAAGACTGTTCATGAGTTAGTGGTGTCTAAAATGGACAGCTCTGAAATGAAGTTAAATCTCCTGGTCAGTGGATGTGTGTTTGAGGAGACCAGGAAGGAAGACAGCAGCAAAGTGAAGACTTTGAGTCGATTAACAAATGCTGAGAAAGACCCAGTGATTGTTCAGCTGACTTATGGAAACAGTGGAGGAGAAGCCATTCTTTCTCAGGTACTGTGCACCTAGAAGTGTTGATTTGCACTTTGATACATGATGTGCTGTCCTGAAAAATTCACTTGTTCCCATTGCAATTTTTCAATATCTGAAGAGCCTACAAGGAGCCAGAGAGGGACTCTGTGTTAGGAACTGCAGTGACAGGACAAGGGGAAATGAGTTCAAACTGAAGGAGGTAAAATCTGGATTGGATGTGAGAAAAATGTTTTTCCCTATAAGGGTGGTGAGATGTTAAGTTTGAATAGCTCCTTCAGGAGAAGATCAGTGTATTTAGAAAAGCTGTTTTGGGTAGGTTTTGGAGAAAATTGTGATGTCCTGGCAGCTGTGATCCCTGGATTGGAACTCATTTTGTTTATTCTCTTTGCCAGGCCCACTTGGAACTGGACAGCAATTCTATGGATGTCCAAACTGAAGAGGATTTTAATTTGCTTAAGATGAGCAACACCAAAAGATATGAAGTTCTCAAGGATATCCTGATATCACTTGGCCTGAGTTGTGAAATAAGTGAAGTTCCTGTGTTGACACCTATTTACCTTCTCTCTCCTGATGAGGTAAGACCTCTGCTTACACTTCAGCTGTTTGGCATTTACCCTACAGGACAAATTCAGTGTTCCCTTAAATACCTCTTTTATTTCTTGTGTGATGTTTTTGTTTGGAGAGGTTTATGTAGGTGTTACAGGTAAGCAGAAGGTTTAATTTCTGCTCTCTCACTGGTTTGTCTTCTGCTGGTGGTGGTTTGGAATTTGATATGGTACAGGGTTAATTTTTCAGGTATATTGGCTATATTTAATCATAGAACCATAGAATTGCACAAGCTGAAGGTGCTTTCTTGAGACCTAACTCTGCTGCTTCCCTCCTCAGCCTTCCTCCAGCTCTTGGATTCTCCTGCTTGCTCCAGCCAATTTTGCTTCTGTGACCAAATAACAAGTTCTTTCCTTTTTGACTGCTATTAAATGTACTCTGTGCACAAGACTTGTAGCTTATTGAGCTCTTCCTTTTTGTTTTTGTTACCCATCACAATTTTCTTCCTGATTCTTTCTTTCCTATGCCCATGAAATTGTCAAACAATGCCATGAATAAAACAGATTAGCTAATTTCTATCCAAACTTGCCATCTAGTGGCATCTCACAGGCTTGCAGGACACTGCTACAGATATCTCTGTGATGTACACTCTGCAGTCTAAGTTTATACCCAAATTAGGTTTTGAAGTGCTGTTTTGCTCACATTTTAATGGCAATTTTGCTGTATTGCTATCTGTAGTCATTGTTTAAGGATCCTTCTCTTTAGCCATGATTTGCTTCCAGAATATTTTGTGAAAGGAAGTTGCAACTTGTGTGTAACAAATAGTTAAGAATTAAGAGTTAGTGTAGTAAAATAATGAGTGTGCAGTAGTTTATATTTCTTACAAATTGTTTTATTTTTCTTCATACATTGTGTGTCTGCAGGAGGTACCAGAAAAGTACCTCAGAGGTGAATAATTTGAGGAAATGCTGAATTTCTTTAAGATCAGAGGGAGTCAATAGTGCTGGAAATACTATTTGTATGGAGAGGTTGTCCAGGGCAGCTCCCTAGGGGTGTGGTGGAGAGCTGGGATTGTTCAGCCTGGAGAAGAGAAGCTTTGGGTGACCTCGTTGTGGCCTTCAGTGCCAAAATATGAGCAGAAGTGGCATTATTATAGCACTGAATTCAAATAAGAGCTCTGATACCTGAATAAGAGGTCTAGATTTTGCCATGGAGAATTAAGACGCAACAACACTGAAGAGCAAGAGGCACAACTTGATGTTAAATGAATTTTAGAGGCAAATACTGCTCTTGAAACACAGCACCTTTTTCTTCTTGCCTTCATCTGGTGCAAAGCAGTTGAGCAGTTTGTAGACTTGCCCAGTGCTATGTAAAGCAAATTCTGTGTCCCTGTGGTGCAGTGTTGAAGCAAATGGGGATACAAGCCTCTGGTCTGGTACCCACATGGGCAGTGGCAGCTTCAAGCATAGAGATCATAGAATTTAGGGGTTGGAATGGAGCTTAGAGATGATCCAGCCCCAACCCCTGCCCTGGGCAGGGACACCTCCCACCAGAGCAGGTTGCTCAAGGCTCATCCAACCTGGCTGTGAACACTGCCAGGGTTGGGGCAGCCACAGCCTCCCTGGGCAACCTGGGACAGTGTCTCACCACCCGCACAGGGAAGAAAACTTTTTTTCTCACATATCTGATTTTTTTTTCTGCAGCTTTGCCTTTAAACACTGTGATATTTACTCTGTGAGCCGTCTCAAAGAATAATTTTTCAGACATAAATGCCAGGATTGTGTTTTATTGCCGCAAGCTCCAACATAACATCTACTACATTTCAAACCAAGGATTTACTCCTTGAAGACTGAAAGCTTTGTCACAATAGTGATTATTTCCTTTAGGAAGTAGATCACACCCACACATTAGCTCATCTGAAGCCTCTTAAACTTGACCAGGAGCATCTCAGGCTGTGTTAGGCTCAGAATTCTGTGTGTGTTTGAGTAACTCAGTAGCCGCAGCACAACCAGAGTTGAGTCAGAGCAGATTTCCATGTCTTGAGCTGCACTTGGATTCTGTGGTGGCATTGGCTGTTGTTGAATTCCAAGGCCATTATATCAGCCAAGAGGGTATGAAGTTACTTCATCCTGGATAAATCTTGCTTTGAGGATGGGAAATTTGACCTCTCAGTTAACACTATAATGAACCCACATTTCAGGGTATGTTGTGAGACAATTGTTCCTGAAATATTGCCATGCATATTCATGTGTATTGGAGAACTTGAGAGCCAAACTTGAGTCTTCTTGAAATTTCCAGTGCTAAAATCTGAGATAATTACACTGAAATCCCAAAATCATCTTCTTACTGCTCTCCAAGTTTTTTATTTACAAGTAAACCAAAAATGTCAAATGTACAAAATAGATTTATTTGCAAAAAAATCCCCAATTTTATTTGCAAATTTAGCTTATTTTCTCTTCTCATCCTCAAAGCATAAGCCATCCTTGCCTTTTTAGGGACAAAAACCCCTTTGGAAGTATTTATGCCAGGAAGGAAATTTGCTCTTCACTCTAGCTCAGAAGTAACAGAAGAGCTGAGAAAAATGTTGAGTGAAAAACACCATGTGAGAGATCCAAAAAGATCCTGTTGATCACTGACAATTTGTCTAACATTTTTTATTTCTGTTAATATATTTGATATATAATTTAAAACAAACAGTTCATTGTTGCCAGAAATCTTTGTCTGTATTTGAAAGCTTTTCCCACTTTCTCGTGGCTAAGAATAAAAATGTCTTTTTGAGCCAAGTTGCTTCAAGGGGGAAAACTTAGATACAGCAATGTAATTGCAGCTGTACCAGTAAAAATGTGTATTTGCTGACCCACCTGATTATTTTGGGGACATGAATGTACTACGTGACGTGTGGGGAACGTTTCTGGGTTCAAAGATGTTCCTCCCAGGCTGGTTAGACTGTGAAGTGCATTTGGAAAGCCTTTGGACAGGGAAGATATTTTTTTCACTCTCAGAACTTTGTTCAGCCTCCTTCCTGGAGCAGTTTATTGAGGAAAGGCTGGAATGCTGCAGGTGTTTTCAGTGCATTCACCAGTGACTCCAGTAGTGGAGTCGTCCCTGCCCAGCTGAGCTGTATTGGTGTTGGCATTGGAGTTCCATCACCAGGAATCTCTGGTGCTCTCAAAGCTGGATGCAGTTGTCCTTTTTTTGCACAGCTGCTGTAGTGAGGGGAAGGTGTTTACCACCAGGGGACACTTCTGAGCTGGATTTCAAGGGAAGAAAGAAGGAAGGGCTGGAAAACATTTTATGCATAGTGTGTTGTATATAGATTTGCATTAGAATATCTTTCCATGTTTGCAGCAACTGCCTTGGATTATATTTCCTCAGTTTTAAAATGGCCTTTGAAATTCCACAGGAATTGATGGTATGTAGTGTCAGAATACAGCAAAACATTTCCAGTTAAGAAATCTTGATGGGAGATGAAGGGAACTCCAAACATGGAGCCAAGTAATTCCAGGTGGTTGCTAAAGATACCTTTGGCTTTTTTTGCTGTTGTTGTTTATCTCCAGGGAATATTTGCCTTATATTTGGGGGAGATGGAAAGAAAAATCTGGCAAACATCCCCTCTATTTTACATTTCTCTGCTTAAAACTGTGTTTTCCCTCTTGCAGGAGAGGAGCAAACATACTGTTTCTGTTAAACAGCACAGAACAGTGAATAACATTCTTATGTTGCATTATGGTTTGTAAACAACTCCTTGGCTCTGTATTGACTCAATAAATGTTTTTGAGGGATCATTTGGAAAACGCAAGAGGCTTTGAGGAATGAAAGAAAATATCTTGTTTATAACAATCTCCATAAAAAGGGTCTTTATGTTGCTGTGAGAACTAGAAGTTAATGCCTTTTGTACAGAGCAGCATTTAATCTTGGTATGGAGCTGACTCTGATATGAAATGATTATGTGCTGGCATCTGCCCAAAGTGCCACTCATGGAATTGGATTCTCTCATGTTTCCAGGCTGGCTTCAAGTCAGCGTGCATGATACTTCCCAACCACTCTCTTCCCTAGGCATGTTCCTTCTGTTACTGCAGAGAATGGAAAATTTCATTATCCTCCCAGAATGGCTTATGTAATATATATTGAAAAAGTTTGTGATCCTGGTGTTCATGTCTTCTGCTGACTCCTCACTCTTGAAATGATAGCATGAGGGCTATTTGGTGGGTGTAGGTTACTCAGCAGTGTGTGAGGCTGAGTTTTCTTGGTTTCAGTTTATCTTGGAGTAACAGAAGTCAAACCCACAAATCCAAACTCCTGTCGGCTCCGAGCGTAGCTAGGCACACACTCTGCCTCCGTGCGAAGGCTGTGAGCAAAGGGGATTTGGTTTCAGCACTGCAGAGTTGTGACTGCCAAACCCTTTGGAGTCAGGGATCAGGGTGCTGCCAGGAGCAGATGGGTGATTTTAGATCGCAGCAATCCCTGCCCTGTGACAAACCCTCTGTGGCCGTTTGGCGTCGCTTCCTTCGCTCTGACCTCACTGGCAAAGATCTGACAAAAGTGGAGGATTTCCAAACGTAAAAAACTTGAGCTCCTCTGCCTGTTGGTGGGGCCTGCAGCTAATTTATGGAAGTGAGACTGGGAAAATGAGAGCAGGCTTGGCATCAGCTGGAGTCCTGTGAGATGCTCTCGAGTTACCATTGCTCAGAAATGACGAGACGTTTCCACAATGAGAAATTGTTACAGTGCTTGTCTAACAAGTGTGTTAGTGCTTCTCTTGTAGCTTCAAATCATGGCTAGATTCTGTCTTTTAATTAAGGAGCTATATAGGGACATATATGTTCTATAATGTAAAGATGTTTGGCTATAAACATGTATAGATACCTAGATATATAAAGAGGGAAAGATCTGTATAACCAAGGGAAAATAGAAGCATCTTATATTGCTCTTCAAAAAACCATGAAACTGCAAACTTCAGCTCCTTTTGAAACTGCGTTTACAACACTGAGGTCCTCTAAATTTATTTCTTTGACTCTTACTAATTCTT